TAAACGAGCCTGGATGCCACCTAACTAGCCTGAAGAAAAGAACAAGACAAAGGTGCAGGGGGCGCAGGGGGTGGGGCAGGGCGTGCGTTGACTAAACGAGCCTGGATCACACCTAACTAGCCTGAAGGAAGGAACAAGACAAACGAAAAGGCAAGGACAAACAAGAAAAGGTGCAGGGGGTGTGGGGCGGGGTAAATGCTCTTACGATCGAACGGCACGGGCCCGGAGGCGCTGGCCGAGAAGCCGAAATCGGCGCATTTAAAGTTAAAATTTTAATTGGAAAGACTTCTCCGGGGTGAAACTGATACAGTTGAGACTCTGCAGTATATTTCAGTAAGAGCTTTCAGTGAACTCTGCAGTACAATTCACGTGCACAAGGTCCAAGCAAGCTGATTTCGAGCAGGAAAATTCAGTCGAGTAAACTTCAGAGAAACTTCAAGGAGATTACTCCTGCGATGAGGAGCGAAAAGGTTCTTGCAATAACGACACCCCGAAGGGATCACAAAGCTTACCACTGTGGGAAGAAGCTGCGGAAACACACTTGAGAAGGTTGCTCCGTGGAGCTTGTCTTCAGGCTATTCGCGGTGAGCATTAGCACTTTAGTGTTACTGCAAATTAGACCTTGACTAAAGGAAAGTGCTGAGTCGGTCGCACGCGTTTAACAAGAGTTATAGATCTGGCCGGCCTGACATATGATACAGTTTGACACTTGCTGGCTTGCATATGGCCGTTTTGTCGCCATTGGGCAATAAAAGAGCATGTCCATGCACCAGTCTTACGAAAGTCTTGTTTCTGGCTGTCCCAGCAATGGCTGGGACAGAGCTGCTGGGCCGGCGAGCTCGCGTTGCGGGCGTGTGCGCCGGAACGCTGGAATTGACCATTTAGGGCAGCGAAGCTCGATGGCAACATGGTGCTTGGAAACAGCCCCTCAGCTGCAGTCGATATTATATATATACACAAGTTCGAAGGCAGTTGAAGCGCGTGTGACAGCATCGGAAGGTGAAAGTAGCGAAAGTCGATGCCGGTTTCGAATTCTGTGCGCCAACGCGCACAATGCCAAACGTGTGGCAGAGTCTCGGGCGTTCCTGCCGAATGGGTGGCGCCCAGTCGAATCCAGGCTGGCCGCATTTGGAGAAGTGCGGCATCACAGCTGTGAACTCATGCTTTTTTGTCAAGAGTCTGACTCCAGGGTGGGTGTCGGTCGAACGCTCAACCTAGCATGGCCTCCAACCTACTAGATGGCCTGACCTTGCACCAGGCCACCGGTGGAAAAGGTTCTACACAAGTAAGCCCATGACCCACTGCACAGCGCTGGCTAAATTGAAAACGATGCATTTGAAACTGCCCCTCCATTTTTGTTTTGGAAACCTCGTTCGCCTGCAACCAACAACACCAACCAGAAACACATAACCAACACACAAACAACAGCGCGCAATCACAAGCACACAACCACAAACACAGAACCACAAACGCACAATCCACAAACGCACGACCGCAAACACATATCCACGAACACACAACAGCAAACACACGATGCAAAAACACAACACGCAACCACGACCACCACACACATCTGCGTTTTAATGATAGATGATGTGTCAGAACACATACCAGACTTGATGCCAGAATAAGTGTGAGCACATTGTGACCCACTGTGCAGCAATGGATGATTTGAAAACGACGCATGTGAATTTGTCCCGTTTTCTGGACAGTGCGAATGGAGGACAGGGCCAATGCGTTGGGAAACCTCGCGCACATACAACCAGCAACACCAACCAGAAGCGCACGAGCAACAACGCACAAGCAGAAACACGCAACCACAAACAGAGAACCACACTAAACACACAACCACAACCCCCACACGTCTGCACTTTAATGACAAATGATGTATCAGAGCACACACCAGTCGCGATGCCAGGAAAAGTGTGAGAACATTGCGTCAATGCATGTGTCGAGCAGTGTTTGTCATGATATTCTGTCGAGACATTGGATTTTGAACGGGAAAAGGGGCGTTTTCAATTTGCTTTTGTCCGTAGAAGACAAGGATGTTTGGTATGAGGTCCCCGAAAACATGCGCAGGCGTAAATCCATGTTTCTCGACTATAGAGGAGCCACTGCGAGCCCATTGCAGTGCCATTGCTCAATGTTTTCGGCGCAGATTGCACGGTTTCCGTTTATGTGCTCTTTTGGGGTGGAGGGTGCCATCGTTGTGACGTATTCTGTGAAGTTGGCCACGCTGGCGAAAGAAGGCATCCACAGCAATTTGCAGTCGCGGAGAACGGGCGCAAGGTTGATGAAAAGGGAACAGCATAGAAGGCCGTCGATTGCGGCCGACATATCCCTCTCAGGCTTGTTTTGAGCGGAGTCCATTGACCGTGAGCACTGCTACGAGACTCCCAGCTGAAGCTTGGACACAGTATCTTTGTAAGGATGCGTATAGTTTCGGCTTGGTCTCCAAGTATCTATCTACCAGGGAAGTCCATAAGAAACGGAGGTACTTGTGCTTTAACCTGGATCCCTCGGAGCGAGGACCAAAAAATAAGAGTCCGGGTGTTTGTCAGAGTGCGCTGCTTTATGATTTTTAGAAGTGTTATAACATAATAGTTCTTTAAATAGATTTCCTTTAAAATGTATGTTTGTTAAATAAACTATATTTTTAACCATTTGTGCCTTAATAATGGACGATTAAATCATTCTAATGTTTGATACTGTTTTCCTAATTTTGTTGCAATGTTTTCTACTGTATATTCACCTTGTAAAAAATGACTTGTTCTCTCTTTCTCTGTAATTGCTTTCTTCCTCATTCTTTTTACCCTGTCTCCCACCTCTAGTGTTGGATACATATTTTCTTTACTTGCTTTCACTGATACATTCAATTTTGCTTTAAACGCATTCTTCTCTTTCCTTGCTTCATTTGGTGTTAGTCCTGTTGCACTATGCACATCTTTATTATAAGTCAGCATTATTTCTAATATGTAGTCAGTCCATTGTATATTCTGCTTTCCCTTCTTCTCATCATTTTCAACTCTTTTGAATGGTTTATCCTTTAATATCCTAAAAATCTTTCAGCGAAGACAGTATGTCCTCTTGCCCTCAATGCCTTCACCATCAGCACTTGCTATACCTCTTTCATCATCAGTATACAAACGTTTGCACTTCTTTCCCATTTTGTGTAAGCCATAGTTCCAGCAATTATGGCAGGTGGGGTTAAGCCTTCCATAGTTCCAGCAATTATGTCAGGTGGGGTTTTACTCTTTATTGGCACTACCACAGCATATTTACTCAGAACATCTATCATTACTAAATCCGCTCTAAATTGTTGTGTTGCTTCAATGTCATCAGGTTTAAAAAACAAAAAACAATATGTCAAGTTGGTAGGTATGATTATTATGAGGTGCTATAAAACTGTTCTGACCTCTGTGTTTTTTTCTTTATCTCAACATTTTTTCTAAAAAATATTCAACACCAAACAGTTTTATTTCAGAATCTTTTTTTGCATCTCTTAAAGTTGTTGCTTTACTTCCATTTTTTTCAAAAATAATCAGTGAGCACTACAATTACAATACTTACAGTATGGAGTGCAATTATCCACAGAATGGCACAGTGTATTGTCTAGTCTTTGTGCTGTGAAGTTTTTTGATAATTTGCCTTGCTTCATTTCAATATAAGGTTTTATTCCACAGTGGGCACAACAGCCATGGAAATGATTCAAACATCAATGTTCATTGATATAGTTGTCTTCATCTATTTCTCTATCAGCCACTTTATCCTGTTTTTTGTGTCCTTCAATCTTGTTTTTAAATATCCTATTACTAAATTATTTTGCATCTCTTCATCTGCGTTTTCATTCTGGAAATGTGTAGTCTTTTGTATTTATGAATACTCAAAGCATCTGGTCATATCTGAAATGCCTCTATCTGGTGCAAAATTTCCAGAAGTTTGGGAATTTGGTGGTTCCAAAAAACCTGGGGTTTCCAAAAAACCAAAAAAAAACAAAAAAAAAACAATTTTCCAGGGGTCTTTGCACTTGGGGTTTCTGCAGAAAGAGTTTTGAAATATTGTTTTTTTTGGTTTTTTGATTTTTTTGGTTTTTTGGAAACCCAAGGTTTTTTGGAACCACCAAATTCCCAAACCTCTGGAAAATTGTATTTTTTGGTATTTCTGAATACTCAAAACATCTGGTCCTATCTGAAATGTCTCTATTTGTTGCAAAAGTTACAGAAAAACATCTGCAAATCATTGTCTCTATCTGGTGCAAAATTTCCAGAGAAAAACATCTGCAAATCAATGGAAAACCGCACTCTCAGGGACACCCGTTCTGAAAAATAATAGGTGGGAGGGGGGGCGGATGTGTTTTTTTGGCCGTAGAAGACACGGATGTTCTGTGTTCCGTCACATGCTGGAAAAGAAACCCTGTTCCGCTACTAGCCAGCAGTTTCTTTTCCACCCCGCCTAGGTTAGTTTTCCACCCTGTGCTCCCGCACATGGTGCAGTTCCGCTACTGGCCCAACCAAAGACATCGAACGTGGATTCTTCTTATTGTCTTTTCTGAAGGAGCGACGTGCGTCCTTCTGTCCACACCACGTTCTACTGCAGGGCTCCGGTGGTGTCGTGGCGTAGATAGCCGAACAAAACATATTTTTGTACTCACATGTTTTCGGGGGGCCTCACACCAAACATCCGTGTCTTCCACGGCCAAAAAACAAATCCGCCCCCTCCCACCCATTATCATTTTTTGTCCTCGCTCCGGGGACCTCACACCAAGCGCCTGGGCATGAAGTGAACACTGGGTGCAAAAAAACTTCGACGTGTCTGACGAGGTGGAAATACCATCCATCCATGAATAAGAAGCATTACCAGACCACCACAGACCTGTGTAGCAGCAGCATGAAACAGTTCGGACAAAGGTTGTTCTCCGCAAATCCGTTGGTTAGTTCAGTTCGGCGAGACGTTCAGAGGCAAAAAACAATCAAAATGGCCGCCCAGCTGACGTGATGCAGGCGACGACGTCCACGACGTCAGCTGCAGCGCCAAGCGTCAAAGCATGCAACGTCTCTGAAGTCGAGCGACCCAGTGATGTGTCGCTTGAGATGGTTTTGAGATGAGTGGCAGGTGTCAATTGAGTTTGTTTTGGCAAGGGTTGTTGGGGTTGGTGCAAGATCCTGGGAACCCACCAAGAAAATACACGGTAGAGTCGAGGCTGCTTGTGTTTTGTGTTTGGAAGAGCTACAGTTACAACGACCATGCAGCTGGTGTGTTTGGCACCCTCGGTGAAACAAAACTGGTCAAAGTCATTTCTTGATCAGAAGTGGACATCGAGAGAAATCACCAAGTCATTTGTTTGACCCTTAGGGAAACCCTAGGAGCCCAAAAACCGATTGACCTGAAAGGAAATGATGTTGTGTATCATTTTTCGTCTCTGAGTCAAAACAAAGTCTCAATGTTGGACCAACACCGACTCCGCTCGAGGAGATTTGCTCGATGGTGGCAGCGATGCTGCGGCGCGAGGGGAAGACGCAGGAGCCGACAGAACCCGGAGCGAACGCCGAGCGAACGCGGAGCGAGCGCCGAGCACCTGCGGGTCGGCTCGTCGGACCAGGGCCTGGCCTGTTTTGTTCATGTTCGTTCCTTTTTGCTCTTCCATTTCATCCATCTACTTAGGGCTGAGGCCTGTCAGTTCATCTCCCGTTTGTCCCACTAAAGTCCTGCCTCCGGCTGGGGTTTGCTTTGAAATCGCTCGCTGGTTGCCATGAATCCGCTTGAGTTGCCGTTTCTAAATTGGAAGGTGCCAATGAGGGATAGATGCTGAAAGATAGGTCCCATTCTGGACATGCCATTGAAATCCCAAAAACCAAGGGAGCTCAATGGAAAAAAGACATCACGAGATCTGGTGGGGCGCCTTTTCCAGAGGAATTCTTCTTTGGTGCTTTCATTGCCGTTTTTTGTCCACAGGACCAGCTCTTTGATGCATTGGTGCGGCGCTCAGAGCCGAAACTCGGAGGAGACGACCTTGGTGAGCTCCTTGAAACCAAGAATGAGCTCCGTCAATGGTTTGGAAAACGCTGATGTGTAGGAAAACGTTCCTTGTCCTGTTGGTTGAGGGTCTTAGTCATTTGCTTTGGACTTCTGTGCCTTGGAAGGGTTGGTACCTTCAACCCTTCGGTGACCATCCCATGATGGGCAGTCTTCTCAACAGGAAAGCAGGTGTTGTTTTGAGGATGTGATCAGTGTGAACCCAGACTGCAAAGCGTTGCAAGTGATGTCGTTTGCCCGTTGCAAGTCAACCAAGTGAAACCATCTCGGATGTGTTGACGAAATCTGTGTTCTCTACCAAGAATAACAAACCAGGGGATGACCATCACAGTAGCACAGATCAAGCCCCACGCGCATGGTCGCCACTCGCAAAGGGTTCCGGTTCGGAGGGCTCGGCGGGCAATCGCCAGCAATCATGTTAGCACTAGGGCGACTTCAGACAAATTGTTGAAACAGCCCGACTTCAAAAGCTCCTAAACCACGTGTGTGTGTGTGATACAACCACTGAGTCCTAGTGACCAAAGATCAGCAAGACCTGGACATCACCTGGGCATCTCTCATCAAAACCTCCCAACACATTCAATCACCTCTTATAGCATTGAAAAATGCTGCATCGAGGCCAATGGCCAGACGGAAGTGGCCTGGTCCGACTTCCGGGCGCTCTTCGCCCAGCTGGAGCCGCACCTGTCGGTCGGGGCTCAGAGAGACCGGGCGGGTCCGCCCGGACCGGGGACCGTCCCGGAACGGAAGTCTGGCGAACGAAGGAGACTCGTTCGGTCTAGACGTTGCAGACAGGGGTGGCATGAAGATGTGGCGAGAAGTCAGATGTGCTGCTTTGCCTTGGCTTTGCCTTGGCTTTTGGAAAGGGTTTGGGGTGATTCTGCTGGCTCATTTGCAAGCAGGCAGCTCTTGCAAAGAAGCGTTTGCCTGGAGATCTCGCGTTCTTAGGCAGAGCAGCTGGAGGAGTTGTGGCGTCACTTCGACAAGAACAACGTCCGCCAACCCAGAGCGCATAAAAAGAATACACGAGCCAAGCGAAGAGAATAGAAGCTTTGGATTAGCTGTCAAATGTTTCAAGGATGTTGGCTCCATACAGAGAAATCCATCATGACATACGTCCAACTTGTCCATCTTCACCTCTGTCTTTTCACCAGACGTTCCAAAGCTGCTTCACTTGGCCACTGTTTTGACTCCTTTGTGGCCCTGATGAGTTGGTCAGTCGTCTAAGGATGGCGGGGTCTCTCGGGAGGAGTTCCGGCGAGCACTGGGCGCGGTGAGCACCGCTGCCGAAGATGTGGCGCAGGACACCATTCCCACGAGGGGACCATGTCCTGCTGATCGTTGAACATGCTTTGTGTGTAGTGGTTCTTGGAGTATCTGCTATTTCAGTGGTTTTTGCCAGGGATCTCTAGCTGAAAAACCGCTAAGATGCTATGTCGAATGTTTTTGGAACTAAAACGTATGGCCGGTTGCGAAAGGGCAATGAATGATGTTGTGGAGAGTATCCTCCCCCTTTCAACCACTATATGACTGGAAGATTGATCTCAGTCCTTTTCCCGTCGCTCCTTTCCTTTCGGGTTGCTACGAAAAACAGTTCCAGTGGCACTGGAATCGTTCCGTTCGTGGGTCGCTTCCATCGCATCGCGACTCTCGCATGCGACTCTCCCGTTCCATGCGGTTCCATGGGACGTGGGCGGTTCCACACGGGCGAAACCCAACCCGCCAAGAGGACGCCACCGGCCAGGACGTGTGTTCCCGAGTCATGGCCGCTTTGGCCCGCGAAGGGAAGCCGAAGTCTCAGACTCTCCGAGTGAAGGACGAGAAACGGAACGAGGAAAAAAGCAAAGCTTTACGAGCTTCCTGTTACTAGTAGCGATGCCAGGAGCGCCCCTAGTAGCGTCCTAGTAGCAAAAAGAGAAGCAAAATAAATGAAGTTCTGAAGCCAATTCAGAATTTTGAAGTTCACCAAGCTATGTGCTGTCGCCACGGTGCCTCCATGGCAAAATTTCTCAATCTGTCTTGGGTCCAACCAAGAGAGAGAGAGAGAGAGAAGGAAAAAATCAAAACATGTTCCATGATGTTCCATGGCTTTGACGGGGGACGGGAGGTTTTCCCGAAAGACCTTCACCGAGGTCGGTCTCGGAGCTCTTCGATGCACTGTCAGCCTCCAGGCAGCTTGCAACACACTTGCAAAACCCCGTGGTCGAATCGGGCAAGCCACTTCGGTCTCCGGAACTGGGGACGGTTCGGTCTCCGACGGCAGGAGCACGGTGCAGTGGAAGGACTTCGTGGATTTCTTTCAGGCCTTGGAGCTCGGAGGCCCAGGATGTCCACGAAAGCATCTTCTTTTTGAGCCGGCTCCCGGCATCTACTAGGAGCAATGAAGCTACTAGGGGCTCCTGGCATCGCTACTAGGAACAAGGACGCTACTAGGAGCAAAGGGCATCGCCACGAACGGAGCAAGTAAGGGAGTAATTACCGCAAGTTTCTAGTAACTGGAGCCAAGTAACTAGCTCTCGCTAACAGAATGGATTGGGACAAGGGAAGTTTGTGGAGTTTTGAGATGATTATGATTTGGCGTGAAATTGCATTTTGGACTTCTGGTTGCCAGTCCCCACCTTTTGAAACAGACATGCAGGGATCATAGTAGAAGACAGCGTATCTTTTCCTTGGCAGTAGCTTGGGACGCGTAAAGTGGCGATAGCAGAACATAATCCAGTTTAGCTTTCCCTGGTTGGCACATATTTTGGTTTGCTAGACGCAGTGCATCAATTTGTGCACCTGTTCGTTTGCACATCGGTTGGTGACCCTTTTTCCTGGCTACCCTGGGAAGTCTTGAGGGACCTGCGAAGTTTCACCATGTTCATGGAACTGTGTCCAACAACCCTCCTTGACAACTGGGAAAATTCTTCGAGGCCAAAGCTGACTCGTCCACAGCTGGAGATGCTTTGGAGAACCTTTGACAAGGCCGGGCTGCAGATTTGCACGTATGCAATATAATACACCCTTCTCATTCTCCATGACACAAATGCAACAAACATACACAGAAACTGGTTTGAAAAGAGGAGACTCCAGCAAAGACGGGTCTTGACGGTCTTTATATTTGTTGAGGGAGGAGATGGGAAGAGTAAAAAGCGCACTTTGAAGACGGAAGAATACAGCCGCTAAGACCACGAAGACCACTGTTTCAGAGTTGAATTCTTCCCACGCCACCCCCGAGACGAGTCGCAGGAACTGACCCAGACACAGTTGAGTCCTGATCGTAGCCTCGCTTCAACTTCGCATGGTCGCAGGACGGTGATGGCAGTGTCACCAGGGAGGAGTTCCAGCGAGCCTTGCAATCTGGGTGTGGCTCTCGGAGGAGTGGTCAGTAACAAGAAGCTAGTAGTAACAGGTGCCACGCTAGTAGTAACAAGTGCCTTACTAGTAGTAACAAGAAGCTAGTAGTAACAGGTGCCACGCTAGTAGTAACAAGTGCCTTACTAGTAGTAACA